AAGTATGTTGATACAATTCCAGATTGACGTGGGGACACAGGCGGGAGTAAAATCAGACTGTGTGATTCGATACTTGCGTGGTCGGTAAAATGAAAATTTTTCGTGTAATTTGTCAGTATCATCAGGTTTATTATACTTTTTATCGCATAGTTATTCTTTTTCACGCACTTTCTGTCATTAACGTCTTACCTTTTTTTCCAGTTTTTAGTATTGAATTTAGTATCATTGTTAAGGAAGGGTCGCACATTATCTTTAGGTGTGAGTCGAAGTTTATTAAGAAAATAGCAGAGAATCTAAAGTACGGTTTGATCATTTTTACTAGTAACATATAGTGATATTCATCAAATTTGCAGAATGTGAAATTCACTGGATAATTCTGCATCATTAATTTCTTTGTCTTTGTCTCTCTCTCACTTTTCCATATTCGCTTGCATTTTCTCCCAGTCTGTTTCATTTTCTTGCGCTTTTCACTTCTCCTCTCTCTTTCTCTCTTCCCTTCTCTGGTATACTCTAACCCCACTCTTCAGTGATGTACGTGTATATCTGTCCATCAGTAGAAATCGCAATAAAGGCGAAAAAAACGCTAATCCCGATCGGCGAGCGGTGACAGACAAAATGGAAGTCCCATGATTTCAGCTTCGATTTATCTCTTTAACTGAGGTATTATATTAGTTATCTGGAATAATACGGTTGTTTTTGAACGGAAAGGTGGTTTTATTAGAAAAATATCGGAATTTAAAGTATAGTTTTCAGATTTTAGTTAGTCTTATAAGATAAGGTTTAAAACCAAAATGGCGCTGCGACCAAAGTCGGCGGAAAATAAAAGTGTTTGTTACGAAATCCTTTGATTAATTTTCATTTCTCTTGTCCCTACTTCATAAATACTGTGACGATTGCATGTATATTTTCTTTTGATATTTAAATATACACGTAAAAGGTCTCAACTAAAATTCATAAAAGAAAAAAATATGTCAGTGATATTCAGGTGATTCCGAAGATTTATTATTTTTCTGTTTGGAGTAATTCCCCATTCCAAGAAATTTCTCACAACTCTTAAACTGCCCGGTCGATAAATGATAACAACTGTAGATTAACTATTTTTTTTAGTAAAAATGGACAGTATTCAGTTATTTTATCTTTAAATAGGCATATCAAATAATATGTGTGTATGTGTGTGTGTGAAAGACGTGCATGCGGGCGTGCGTGCGTGCGTGCGCGTGTTTGTGTGCGTGTATATATGTATATATGTATATATGTATATATGTATATATGTATATATATATATATATATATATATATATATATATATATATATATATATATATATATATATATATATATATATATACACATATATACATACACACACATATTCACGTATATTCTTACCCATGTTTTGAAGACTTACACCAGAGAGATCTTGATTATGAAGAACTTAAGGAGGTTTATATCTTTGTTTATCTATACTTGTGGCGCTGTTCAATGAAAAGCCAGTCGTACTAGAAAAAATAATGGCTCGTGTATCTCTGTGACATCTTGATCAGGGCTTTCCTTTTCTTTTTCTTAATCCCCTAGAATATTAGATTCTCTCTCTGATCCATTGCCTCGACCTATATCGGACCACAAATGAGGATAGAATATTAGGTCAAGGTCATAAGAGGATAAATGAAGCATGGCGGACTGTGGTCCATAGAGTTCGAGAAACATTACTCTACTGGGAACTGACATCTACGACTGAGCTAACAACGGCAGATGGATTCCTCTCACCCAAGGTACAGATAACGAGGTAGCTCCACTTCCGTGTAGCCTTTTAAACCCAGAAATGAAATTGACTTTTTGCCAAGAGTATTCTGAAGGCTTTTAACTAAAAGGAACTCTTAGTTATTATAAATAAAGAGGGGAATTTGGGTAAATATAAGAAAAAATAGCAATATCAAACAAAAAAGTTATGTATCTACCTATATCTGATATCTCATAACGATAAAGTCATTAACTCTATAACGATATTTTATGGTAAGTATAATTTCAGTGCATTTTCTTTGAAAATGGTCCAGTAATAAAAATTATAAGAAAAAAAAATATCCAAAACTAAAACAAGAAAATAAGAAGGAAAAAAGATACTGAATATTTCGAATGAATAAAGGTGTTGTGGCAGGGTTTAGGTCTAAAGTTGCCAACTAAGATTTTCATGAAGATGGAGTCGTTATACCTGTGTAAAGATGCCTTATAACTCTCACCCTTTGCTTCCCAATCGTAGGACTCCCACGTTCTCGGCTCCGATAGCAAGGAAGGGCATTTAAGGCACCTGGGATACTGTAGGTTAAAATGTGAATATTATACACCGAATAAGGCACTATATTGATGATACACATAAAATTATTCAATCTAATGCCTAAGGTTATGCCCCCCCCCATCCCCTCGGCCTCGCGAACTGCCGATCCTAATTCCAGTCCTGGAAAGCATAAAACCCTCCACTTAGTCAAGTTCTTTCCTACTGGCCATCCGCGGTGGATTCTTGGTCGTCCAGGGTGAGGTCAGTGTCTCCTCACTGCACGCACCAGCACAACCAGACGTGCACAGGCAAAAAAATAATGTATTCAGAAAAAAACACACATATAAACATATTCATGCATGTACATATAGTTTCACACACACACACACACACACACACACACACACACACACACACACACACACACACACACACACACTCACACACACACATACACACACACACACACACACACACACACACACACACACACACACACACACATATATATATATATATATATATATATATATATATATATGGGGGGGGGGGGTATGTCTGTGTCCATTCCTCCATCATTCCATCACTCTCCCATTCCTCTTTCAGTCTCCCATTCTTCCATCACACTATCACTCCCCCATCCCTCCAACACAGAAAAAAAAATAGACGAACTATATATTACTTCTTGATGTTATACAACAGATACCCTCTATTCCTTGTTCTCGAATAATTTGTAATTCTGAGTTTAATGTTTTTTTCGTAATTGACGGGGGGTTTCTTATATTAATTTTCTCTCCTGTTTAGGCTAGTGTCTGTATGTGGTCAATTGTTGAGAGTCGACTGTGGAAACCTGTCTCTTCTCTAAACTTGGTTCGAAGCCATAGCGTCGGAAAAGCGAGTTGTGATGTTAACTGATGGGAGGCTTCTGAGCAAGTAGTAGATTATGCCAATTCGGAAGTTGAAAATAGTGGAAAAGTTAAAGTTTCCGCTGACTTATCGTTGAAAAAACACTGGTGTGTCCGCCCCTATAATTCGGCCATTAATTCTCCAAATTCCATTTTTATCAATCAAAATAGCTGTTGCATCTTTCAAGGCTTTAGGAGTTTTACCGTTGATAAGGCATTTCTTAAAATGGTTGTCTAGTTTTAGTGTTGCAGTATTTCTAGCATATATATCAATATCAATATCAATAATGTTGTTTCTTTATGCCTTTGAGCGCTCTTACCATTTCCTCTGCTGTGATGTTAGGCACATATCTAATTACCGCGTTTACTTTTGTCCGTATATATAAATCTCTATATGTCTTTTATTACTTTCATATATTTTCATATATGTTCTCCGTCTGGTTTCTTTACTGCATACATTTTTTTTCCTGATTCCGAGTCTCTGTTTGGCTGTCTTAATGCTGGTATTTAAAATCACTTCCATTTCAAATGTTTATTTTGCGTAAATCATCCCTCTTATTATGATTCATAGCCTTTTTTAATGCTGCTAATTCTATTCTGTCCCAGTCTGACGATATTTTCATGTCCATACATTTTTTTTAGTTTCTACTGAGATCTTACTGGAGCTCTGCTTGTTATTTTTACCGCTTACTTCAAGCGCATCTTACTGTATTTCTTTTTAACTCTTTGTTGATTTGGTCAATGTCAAAATCTCCATCTTTAAAAAGTGCGTATTTGTTTAGAAGTTAAGGCTAAATACTGTCGCTGTCGGCTTGCGTATGTGTTTATTCCTTCCCCTTCAGAAGTGTAATATGATTATTGCCTTTGACCAGTGTCCGCTACCAGCATTAACTTTAGTAATTCATGATACTCAGTGATCGAGCCTCAACAAAACTGTTTAGCATTTGTCTCATTTCTGGTACCTATTACGTGGTTCCAAAATGAGGCATATACACACATACATTACCTACAACTACACACACAACTATACACACACACACACACACACACACACACACACACACACACACACACACACACACACACACACACACACACACACACACACACACACACACACACACACACACACACACATACATATACATGTGTTTTGGGAAACATTGTTGGAAGAGGAGGGCATTGTCGAAGTAAGAGGTTGCAGTGGGAATCGCAAAACATCGATCCCACTTAACTTGGCTAAAAAGAGTACTCAAAAGTTTGTAGAGGTGGAAGAAGTAGAAGGGCGGGGCGGGAGGAAGAGAGGGGTGCTGATTAAGGTAATATTTAGGGAGGCGGACAATAAAGATGTAAAGAGTAGACTACTACAGTAATAAAGGAGGAAGGGTTGAAAAAGCAGAAGACTGGAGGATGAAGAAAGTGTTGGGAGAGAGGAAGAGGTGTTTTTTGAAGGTTGTGTAATGACCAGAGTGGGTGACTTGAAATGAACTGAGCTGGCAAAGGGTAGTGAGGAAGGGATAGTACTTGCTGTGTTCAAAATCGTGATCAAAGGAAAGCCAAGGCTAGGGGTTAGCAGATTAAGGGACGAGCCTCAGTGCCCCTAGTAAGGGTATAAAATCATTACTCGCCATGGTAAGCCAAGAGTATGTGGGGAAGGGAAACAGTTCACCCTCAGACATCAGGGGAAGGACTAAATAAACACTGGAATATCATGTCCATAGCTCCCTGAGCCCACTCATGACGGACCCAAAGCCAGCCTTTTATTATTTCAACATGGGTCTCACAGGTTAGGATGTGGACAGAAGGGGTTAGAGAACAGAAAGAAAAGAGTATTTATTTATTGAAAATTTTCTGTGCTGTCAACATTTAAGGTCATTAGAAGTGTATACAAAACATAGTAATAGGGTAGGGCTTGGGGGCAAGGCCCCCAGTTAAAGTTTTTTAGTTCAGTAAGGCAATGTTTGTGTCCTTCCAGAATGGTCAGTGGTCAAAACAAATATATCAGGCATCAAAGTTTACACAGTATCATGGTTAAGTATTGTGGTGAAAAGGGTAAATATGATTTAACGATTTGGATAAGTGGACAAAAAAGGGATGAAGAAGAGAAGGAAAAGGAGATAGAGAAGAGACTGCAAAATTAGCTGAGGCATGGCATGAGGCCCAAGGCAGTGGTGATCCCTACATTGGGCCTCAGTCTCCGCTTCCTAAGCCCCCATGGAAACAATGAACAAAGGATTGGGGGGTGGGAGAAGAAAAGCTTGTGCCCAAGATTGGGGAGATCACTAACACTGGGCCTCAACTTTCTAGCCATCTAGTTACTTTAATTTTCAATATCCAGTTTTGCTCAAATATTTCAAAGGCTCAGACATTTTATTTTTTTATAGAAATCAAATATAATAATAATTGTTTGTGTCAATCAGAATTTAACATCCAAGTACTTAATTTCCTCTACTCAGGATACGAACTTAAACAGAATAAATAATGCTTCAAAAGACCCTTTGTGACTGTTGCATATTTCCTATTACCAAATTAAAATATTTATAAGAAAAGACCCCTCTGGGATTCATTAAACTTATAATCTCTATAATAATCGCAGGATTAAATTTTAATAAAAGACGACCTTTTCTCATCTTTTTATTGCATAATCATTGTACTGTTCACTGAAGTCTTTTTCTCTGCAGTATATTCAAATCAGCACAGAGGTTTAAAAATACGTGAAAAAAAGCAAACAGTATTTTGGAATGACAAGTTTAACAACTATATTATCCAGTATCTCTATCAAACCTGTATGGCTTTTATATATATATATATCCTTAGCCTCTATCAAAAATTTAATTGACCACAATCTCAGTCAGTATTCCTTGCACTTTTATAAACTCATGCTTTCACATACACTCACTCTTTCTCATTCACTCCATACCTCCACCTCTGTCTCACTCTCGTATTCCTAACCATTCACTTGTCTTGCCAGCCTCCTACTCTCCTGCTCAATTGGTTATTCCCTTTTTCTCTGCCCGTTAATTATATTCTCAGTTTCACTACAGTCTCATTCTTGCTCACTCTTTCCATCTCTCACACTCAAATCACAAAAGGGAATGACAAATTCGACGAGACTTTCCCTTCATTGATAGGCTAGGAAAGGAAGCTACTGCTGACCACAGAAGATATTCTTGGAACATCTTATAGGTGGAATGGAATACAAGAGTATGAAATGGCAAGAAGTTGCAGACCAACATCAATACATTTAATGTACAGATACATCAAAACAACCAAGTACAGCTGCTGACAATACCATGTCAAAAGCTTATACCAAGCAACTTTCCATACTGTTTGAAATGATGAGAAGGACCCTCACATATTCTATATGCTTATGACTGTTATTTCAGCAAAAATAAAACAAGTTCCACCGCAGAGAGTGAATACTTATGGGCACTGGAATGACATAACAGAAAGGTACATAACATAAGCTCAAGCAAATGCATTGAAGAGAAAGCTTTAACTCTATAGTGCACCATTATCATTATGAACATCTAACTTTAAATCATGGAATCTAATCCTCTATTTGATGATTTTTCTACTTCCAAAAGAATTCATCTATTACAATTTAAAACACTTCAGTGGGTAATGCTTAATGGTTTAAACAAATAAGTGTGCTAGACATTAAAGGTCATATAGCACTATAGTAAAGTATTGTAAAAACTTCAGAGATGTAATGAAAGTGAAGGACATAACATCCACCATAGGTTTAAGCATACATCCTACTTACATAATCGCTATAAACTGTTCAAAAATACCTGAACACTCAGAATGGATGTCCACTGAGTAGCCTGTGTACACTAAAGCAGAATAGGTACAAATGACAGTGCAGCACAAATCAGACGTAGAGCATTGAGAATTTTTTAAAGCAAGAACCAATTTTTAGCTGTGTCTGGCACCAATCATCCCTTGTATCTCTTTGTGAAACAATGCAAGGAATTAACCAAGAAAATTCTTCAAGAAATTGCACATTTCAATAATATAAATGCATCCAGTGAAATATTGTCTTCCTGAAATCAAATAACACTAATGGAAATGCAATTTAGAAAACAGACAAACAGCATAAGCCTACCAAAGAGACCAAATTAAACACTTAACATTTTGTATTTTCAAGAGTTTAAATGGAAAAAAACCCTTAAATGATGAACTGTGAAAAATAGATAAAAGACACTACACCAAATTTTCACATTCTCATAAAGACTATTATAACACTACAGCCACAATGACAAATACAAACCATAGCTGAGAGTTCATAAAAATAATTTACATTAATACTTAAAACTTTTTTGTGCTCCCATTGTGATAAAAAACTGAAATCTCTTGAAAGTAACATAATTATATAACAAAATAATGGTATACAAAATGCAGAGGATTTTTTGTATAAAATAAAAGAGAAGCATGGACAACTAACAATCAACTTTCTTTATATTCTAAAAGCACACATAATAAAGTAATCTCTGCATTACAATTACTAATACTTGTACCACATCAAACTCAACTAATCATATCTGCATATAATAATACAATCTTATCA